CCGGTACACGCGGGGCAGGCGCCCGTCCCTGCTGGAAAGTGCTGTCTGGATGTGCTCGTAGGTGGGCAGGTCTGACAAGTCACCCAGGGCAGCCACAGCTGGCTTTTTATGAAGCATCTTCGTGACGACTCTCTTGATATCAGCAGATTTCACCTGGCCTGCAGGAAAAAACAAGGCAGAGCTGCGACGACGATGTTCCAAACAGCACGAAGCAGAGTGGGGAGGATGCTCAGAAAACTAGTCACTAACTCTAGACCTTCTCTACCATGCTTCTGTTTTTTTCCTTCCTTCTGCAAAATTAAGCATTGTGCTCACCTACAAGTGATTGAGACAGTTTGAAATCCTTCCTTGTAGGATTTATGCCCCCAAGCTTTCTGAGGCTGTTCCTCTGTGCTCCAAGAGTATGTTCTAAGCTGCTCTCCCCACCCGAATGCACCTACAGTTCAGTCAAGGAAAGGCAAAGTGTCATCTACTCACTGATGAGGGCACAGAGCTCATGAGGTAGCTTCCTTGTGTTGGTTGCCAACACTTGCCTTCCCACGTCTTCAAAGATCACCGGCCGAGACTCCAGGTTCATCATGAGCATGGACTTCAGCTGCGTCTTCGCTCGCTCGAGCTCTACCTGTAAGTGGGCAGCAAACACACAGAGATGTTCAAAAAGTCTGGCCACTGCTCTCTATCCAACATTCCACATTGCAGCTCTGGAGCCCTCAGCACAGGAGAGACATGGACCTGTTGGAGCAGGGCCAGAGGAGGCCACAAAAATGACTGGAGGGCTGGAACCCCTCTGCTGGGAGGCTGGGCTGGGAGAATTGGGCTTGGGCAGCCTGGAGAGGAGAAGGCTCCAAGGAGACCTTCTGGTGGCCTTTCAGTACTTAAAGGGGGCCTGTCAGAAAGCTGGGGACAGACTGTTTAGCAGGGCCTGCTGGGACAGGACAAGGAGTGATGGTCTGAAACTAAGAGAGGGAGATTTAGACTAGGTGGAAGAAAGAAATGTTCAACACTGAAGGTGGTGAGCCCCTGGCCCAGGCTGCCCAGAGAGGTGGTCACTGCCCCATCCCTGGAACCATCCCAGGTGAGGCTGGCAGGACTCTGAGCACCCTGCTCTAGCTGCAGATGTCCCTGCTCCCTGCAGGGGGTTGGATGAGATGACCTTGACAGGTCCCTTCCAACCCAACCCAATCTCTGACAAGAGTTCTGGAAACATCTTGCTCTTTGTGAGCGTGTTGCTAATATGGTAATGCTATTTTACAGAAATACACAGCATGCTTAACTACAAAAACTCTTTCTAGACAGGCCAGTGCAAGGTACTGTGGCAGCTCAAAGCCCATCTGCAGAGCCTGCAGGTGAGGCTGCTGACCTCTCCGACTGCTCCTGCCATGAGGATGAATTCTCTTGTGATGATTTCCACCATCTCCCGAACCTAGGAAAAGCAGATAATGGGAAGATTAGAGCAGTGCTTATCCTGTGAGCATCACTGTCTGGTGACAATGACTTCAAGGACACCCATCTTTGAGTACAAGGCTCAGTACCTGTTTTGGATCTGCACTGGCATGTATACACAGGAGACCCGTATCCTCGTAGCTGTGGTGGTAAGAGGTTGCATTATACATCCAGTGGTGCCTGTGAGGATACAAAGAGTAATTTAAAAAGAGAATTCAAAAAGTGTAAAAATTAAACAGGGACAGCAAGTCCCCTCCTAGAGCATCCTCAGGGTGTGCAGCACATCAGAATTGTCAGTCCCTTCCTCTGATAATTCCTGCATGTGCTGTCTCCTTCCTGCCCTCCACTGGTATCCTTGAGACCCAACAGAACAATATGGAGCAGTACCACTGGTATGAGCTGTGAATTCCATTAACAGCCTCTGATGAAGGGCTGGTGGAGGAAGATGGGATTCCTGAGCACTTCTGCCCTTTACTTTCCCCTCTCACAATGCCCACTGACAAACCAGTTCCACGTGTTTCAAGTGGAAAAAGCTCATGTAAAAAACCCTGAGGGTGTTTGCTTTCAAAAGATGAAGCCTTCCACGTGCACCTGCTGGAGAAGACTGTTTCTGCTCTCCCTTACACAGAAAGGCAAACAAACCTGTTGAGCACATTGAGGTACAGTCGGGTGAACATGCCCTTGCCAGGGCCTCCTGCTGAGAAAGAGCCACCGCCTCCCATCATCATGTTTAATACTGCAAAGGGAATGAAATCTTCCTCCTGAGTGGCACAAGAAATTCAGTCAGCTAACAGCAGAGCTCCCAAAGCTCTGGGACGAGTAAAAAGGGAGAAAAACAATCAGAAGGAAACATGTCCAAAGAGCAGGAAGGTCAGTTCCTTCATCAGACTGTTGGAGAAAAAGCTGCTTGTACCTGCAGCATCAGCAGCAAGAGTGCCAACGTTTACATAATGAGATGGGGTATTCTGGGAGTCTCCAAGTACAGGGCACCCAAAAGAAAGGATGTTAGGCTCATACTTACTAAAAACGAGCAGCTTTCTAACCCAATCATGATGTGGGTGAGCTCTGGGATGGGAGTAGGGCCCAAACTCACATCTGACATATCCTTTTCAACCTGTGGGGAAGGCAGACAAATTATTAGCATGGATTTTCAACTCTGCCTTATCCAGCTTGATACATTCCCAATAATTAACCTGCTAGAGCCAGCTTGAGCTCATATATCATGTTAGAAATGCAAAGCCTAGAGGGAAATCATCTCAAATCCAAACCTGCACCTCCAGCAGAGAAGAAGAGACGTGATGCCACCTCCACCTTCCCCTTACCTTGACAATGCCCCCGGTGTACTGAGCCACAGATCTGTCCACGTCCCTGCTCTGCCCACTGCCCCACACCGGCTCCACTCCCAGCAGATGTTTCCTGGCACACTCCACCAGCTGCTCGTGCTCGATGCCCACCCCTGCCAGCACCATCCTGTCTGGTGTGTAGTAGTTCCTCAGGTACGAGTGCAGGACCCCTCGGTCTATTTTGTCAGTGTTTTCCACTGGGCAGAACCTGTTCAGGCCGACTGTGTTCTCTCTGTAGGCTGCCTAAAAGGAAAGAGCTATGTTAAAGTAACAAATCTTGCTTCACCTCCTCCATCTAAACCTCTTCCTGTTTTAGAATGATGCCCTCCTGCCTGGGGTGTGTGAGAGAGGACAGGCTGAGCATTATTTCACTAACATCTGCATAACTCAACCACCCGTTGCCACCCACCTCAGCAAAGATAAGTTACAGATTTAGTTCAGGTTCAGATTTCCACGTGTGGAATGCAAGATTTCAAAACGGGGGGGAGAACAAAATTCTCCCTCCACTGAAACCTGAATAACAGAAAAACCTGTTCTCAGGACAGTCTAAAGGAAACGCTGAAATGGAGGAAGACTTGAGGAAGAGCACGCGGCGTGTGGCACACAGGGCTGCACGGGAAGGGGGGGTACAAGGGAGGGGAGGGGGGCT